CAAGCAAAAGGATCATCCTCACAGCCGTATGACACCAATGATCTAAAAGAGATGTCTTTATGGGCAAATTTAAGAGCCGGAAGCCACGCTCTATATGGCTTAGGTGCGGTAAGATCCCCCTAGATTCCAAGGCGACATAAAGACAGAGGAAAAGGTGTATGCTGTAGGGGACTAAGATTCACCATACCCCAAGGAAAGGGATCGTTCTGGTGAACTAAGTATTTATCCCTGTCAAAGTCGGGAGATTTCTTTCCCCGATGGACCGAGCGTTTAAGCCGTGTATATACTTGTCATTGCTGATATCAAGCGGAGCCGCCTTGACCGGCCCGAGGGAAGGTTTGAGGAGCCCCGGACGCTCCCAGGAGACCCACATTAGCTGATTGGATCTCGTTGTTGGGCTGAAAAATAAACCAATTGCATGGAGTGTATTACGGAACCGTTTAGGCCAAAATTAATCATAATCCGCGGACCAGTTAGCATTGGCTATATGACACCGCGTTGTATTTTTCTTTTTTTCACACCTTGGATTTTTTTCAAAATTAAGAGGATTTTTGAGACGTTCCTTGTTTCATTCTGCTGCATGTTTCGATGGCAACCAAAGAGAGAAAGATTGCAATGTCACGCAACGCAATCGATGTTGTGTGTCTGGTGAGGACATCAGCCATTCACAGTTCATTCCTCTTATCACGTGACTTCAAAGTCACGTGATACACTGACAAAACCTTGTCTATTAATATCGGACTTTCATTCAACTTGGCGTAATTAATTATTCTCCAAAGTCTTTTTTACGGTGACAGATTTAAACTCTTGAGGGCGCGCTAGGTCATTTGGTTACTGAAATCAAACAGCAGCTATTCCAACCAGTTATTCGCAATCTAGTAATTACTTGCTCGGCATCAAGTGGACAATTATCGACATGGCAATAAAAAATCCTTCACCTTGTCGGGACAGTCGTTTAAGTTGTATCTTTTGGCCCAGTGCCCCAGATCCGGGGCGGATATTCCAGCTTGTGCGTCCTGAACGTCGTAGCGCGATCAGCCAACGCCTCACCGCCGCCATTGTTAATACTCTCCCTGTTTTGCATCGATCTGCTTGGGCCTTGCCCCAGTCCCACTGAGCAGGGACGGTAGGTATATTAAAACATGGACATCGCAGGTAAACTCCACTCCCCGGTCCTTTGTCCCCGGAAATGTAATAAACACTTTGCTTAAAAAGGAGACAAAAGAAACTGCTGCAAAGAAAGTGAATATTGTGGGCGTGGTTTGTGAAGGACGACGGGCGTTACTGGAGCATGATGTAATCTCTGCCACCAGTGGAGTGTTGCATCGCGGGATTCTAAGCAGCAAAGGAGGAATTTTGAAGGACTTCCTCTTCGTTCCTTTCTTCTTCACACCCCAGTTTTCTGTTCACAGTGGGTGACATTTACAGACGTGCCCCTGCCTAGCCATTCCCGCTTAAAATGCCCGGGACGTCCCCCTGATAGAAGCGGTGACGGTCACCCGGTGAAATGTCCATAAAGTCAGGCGAGGTAATCATTGGCGTTTAACACACACACACCGCGGACTCCTTGAACGCCAGTCGCATTTCATAAATTGCAGTTTGCAACCCGTAATAATATTTGCTGAAATCTTTTTAATCTGCGCGAATCGGCAACCGATGGTGCCTGGTAGGGAGGATTTGTTTTAATTACTATTTTGCCGGCGCTTCGGCGGTACTATGCGGCAGTGCATATGCATATATGCACAGCACGAGTCTTGAGTCACAACCCTTTCTGTATGACCGCTGCCGTACGTGTATGTGAATAACACCGACCAGCACAATCCATACGCACGAACGTTACACCCGAGATACCAACGGAAAATGAGAACAAACGATCAAATTAAAGGTTATAGACCATAACCTTAACAAATCGTATGACTGGAAAAGCTACAAACTCATCAAATGCAAGATATTTGGCCGTGGCCGACTGTGCTGAGCCACCGCCACCGTCTCGAAAAATAACGACACTAATGATGTTTGAGCGAACCAGTTATGGGGAGTGGATTCACGTAGGCTCCGAGGACAATACCACGGCTAGCACCTAAATTCGCCGAAATATATTCCCGGACTTTATTCCCCCAAGCTTTTGATGCTTATCTCTTAACGAGGATACTATTCCATATTTTTATTGTGTCCATTTTCTGAGTAAGAGAAGTGAATCTTTACAATACCTAGAGTGCCTGGGAAAAAATATGCCGAAATTTAGACAGAAGATGACCACTTGTCATTATAATTTTATGCAAGATAATGCATCACTTGGATTGAACCGTTTTTGTAAAGTCAGGAAATCCACACAAAAAATTCTTAATAGTGATCAGAAGAAAATAACAGCCGGGCATGTAAATTCAACTGCGATTGTAACCGAAAGAGGGCGCTTTACCTTTAATGCACAATAAACAGTGTGCACAAAACGGAATTGTTATAGTTGACAAATGTTTATGGTTGAATTCTTTAATGAATTTCAAAAATAAATTTGCAAAACTATTTTTTCCCAGCACCCCCCCCCAAAAAAAAAATCGAAAATAAACACTCTTAATGGAACAAACCATATTTAATATGAAAATGATATAAAACACCAAGATAAATAATTTATATATTTTATTGCCTCGATTCGAAAGAAAATGTGATCCTAAGAACTTGTTGATGCCGATTAGTATTAATCGATTCTGAGTTTCGTCAGTCGTCAGACCAGGTTTGAATATTATATATCTCAACCACTCCTTTGTAAAGTGTATTCCGTATTCGATCCGTCGTCGTGACTGTACGTGAGCCGTGCGATTTTCTCTCTCCACTTATTCTTTTGCCTCGGAGGCAATTTCTTTGCATTTGAGCGATAAGTGGAAATCATGGTCCTTTATTGATATTCCGGTATCTAGCAGACATCATGGCTTATTGACTTAATTAAAAACATTTACGAGTCGAGGGAGATCCGCGAGCGCGGTGTTTCTCATGTCGCGTGTTTTTTTTTCTTCTTTTAGTGAGGCCGTCGCGACAGCCTTTTGGCAATTAACAACGATATCATCGCCATGTTTATGAGTTACTTCTAAAAAATATATTGTGTCTGCCAAATTGCTTAATCGAGCGTTTGAACTATCGGAGCGATATTCCTGTTGGTTATTCTCACTTTCCATTTCGGAAATTGTCGGGAATATTAAATATAATTGTGTGGCTATCAGAGACGTGGCCTTCGTACATCCGGAGCCACCTGCTAGAATTTTACGAGATATTTGAAAGTTTCGATTT